ACCCCCCCCCAGCCTGCACCCCCCCTTCCCCGGCCTCTCCCTGCACCCTCTCAGCCCCCCCAGCCTGAACCCCCAAGTCCCCTTCTGGCCCTAGCCCGCACCCTTCCCCGACCTCTCCCTGCATCCTCCTCAGCTCCTCCTCTTGCCCGAACCCCCTCAACCCCTCCCTCCTCCCCGCCTGCATCCCCACACTCTCCTTCCAGCATGGAGCCCTCAGCCCCTCCTACAAGCCCTTCCAGCCCGCACCCCTAACCTCTCTCCCGCCTCTGCGTGCATTCCGTTCAGCCCCTCCCTATAGCCCCATCAGCCCTCCCTCCCCATTCTGCACCCCCCTGGTTATACCCCCACCCCCTCTTCCTCAGATTGCACCCCCCCATTGCACATCCACACACCCCTGAACCCCTTCCCTTCCAGCCTGCACCCCCAGTCCCTTCACAACACACCTCTAACCTCTCATCCGCCTCTGATTGCATCCCTCACAGCCCAATCCACAAGCCCCCCTCAGCCCACACCCTTTCCTTTCCAGGCTGCACCCCCCCAATCCCTTCAGCCCACACCCCACCCTGTCACCTGCCTCTGCTTGTACCTCCCTCAGCCTGCATCTCCCGCACTCCATCCCTCAGCCCGCAACCCCAAGCCTGCACCACCTCTGCCTATTCCCCCTGCATTCCCAATGCATCCTCAAGTCTGCCCTCCTACGTAGCCCCTGATCTTGCATCCCCAAGACCCCCTTCAGCCTGCACCCCTCCCCCACATCCCTCAACTTGCACCTCCTTCATCTCTCCTACACGTGCTTATCCCTAAGCCTGTGCCCCCAGATCGCCCCCCAGCCTGCAACCCCTCATGGGCCTCTGCCTGCATCCTCCTCAGCCCCTCGCCCCCGAACACACCTCCCTGAGCTTGCAGCCCCCCCATCTCCCATTTTCCTACACCCCAAATTGGTTTGTAAACCTGCCTGTGCCTCCACCTCCCCTCCCCTCCAGTGTGTATCCCACTCCACTCTTTCTTAGCTTTTACCTCACCACTGGCCTGTACCCTGCTAGTGCTCTTCCATTATCGTGCACCCTGTCTTCGATTGATCTGCCATAGACCTCCCCACCTTTCCCTTGTGCACATTTTAAACCACTCACCCTGTCCTCTGCTTGTATCCTGACTAGGAGAATTGCACCTTTTACTGCTCTCTCAATCAGCAGTAATTCTTTCCCCTGCCATTGCTATAGTGTCTGGCTTCTGTTTTTAGGCCTGGCTTGCATGTGTAAAGTGATCTCCTAGGAACCTTTGAGATGAAACTGACCGGCAGACTTTGCAATCACATTGCAGCCATGATACAATCGTGTTCAGAATTCATTCCGGCACCATGTCCTTTCTCTGCTGCTCCCTCAGGTGCAGAGCAACCTTATGAACCATCCACAACTCCTCAGCAGAGGAGTATGTCAAACAACTGGCTTCATGCGAAAGATCCATAGAATCTCTGTTTACCTCCCACCCCTATCAGGGAAGGAAGATGGATCCCCAAAAATTCCCTAGAGTTCTGGGAGATGTTAGGGTGACCAAGTTCTGCTTATGAAACTGATTAAATCAAACACTGGGGTAGGGCTGCAATCCATTACTTCCATCATACCTTTAATAGAAACCAGACATTCTCTTAAGATCTGCTCCAAGAAAATCACAGTTTTATTACTGGACTCAGAAGCTCGAATTACAGTGCTAGCTTCAAGCCGGCAGTAACACCTTCAGAAAAGACAGTCTAAATTGGCTTGGGATAAAACTGTTGAGAAACAGTCAGTTGGCCTTTGGGAGGAATGCTGCAGCCCTAACATTCATGGGGAGCAGCAGTTCCCTTCTTAGTGAGCAAGCCCCCTCCCAGGTGGAAGTGGTCAACAGTCTAGTTCAGGGGTAGGCAACCTATGGCACGCGTGCCGAAGGTGGCACACGAGCTGATTTTCAGTGGCACTCACACTGCCCGGGTCCTGGCCACCGGTCCGGGGGACTCTGCATTTTAATTTAATTTTAAATGAAGCTTCTTAAACATTTTAAAAACATTATTTACTTAACTAAACTATTGTTGTATGTAATATATTATAGACTTATAGAAAGAGTCCTTCTAAAAACGTTAAAATGTATTACTGGCACACAAAACCTTAAATTAGAGTGAATAAATGAACACTTGGCACACCACTTCTGAAAGGTTGCCGACCCCTGGTCTAGTTAGATGTTGGAGAAGAACCTCCAATAGCAACAAACTGATAGTTGTATTGTAGGAGGAGGCAGTCTTGTTTTTTTTTCCCCTCATATCCCACAGCTTAGGCACCTTTCAGTGATGTGGTTTTGGCTGAGTGGCATTTGGCTTCTAGTGCCAGGTTTTCAGTGTGTTCTTACTAGTTAATGTATCCCTGGTGGTTTATTGGCTTGCTGAAGAGCATCTTCATGGGTGAGCACACAGATAATGTTTGTAGGACCATCTTAGAGCCTTCCCTACATGCTTCTAAAGCCATAGGAGTTGAGCTGTGCCAGCTACAACTGTTACATTCCTTAAATTCAAAGTGCTCTGCCATCTGGCCAGATAGCTTATTGCTTGCATCGATAATGGCTTTTTCTCTCCATCTAATATATTCAGACAGTGGGAAGATTAAAGGTGAATTGCAGAAGTCTGAAAAATTGGGTTTGTGCCGTTTTTGTGGTGCTTTACAATGTATAAAGAAGACCTGAAAGCTAATATTTTGTTTTGCTTTTGTTTTTTATGTTAGAAATAGCTGAAATTTCAAGTCGAGTCTTCTCCGGTTTTGCAGGAGGTGTTGGGTGAAACATTGGGAATTTTTTCATACTTTGATTTAATTGATGGAAGCATTTGAATCTTTAAGATGTCCTTCCTCTCAAGAGCTCATTAGATTTTAGGAGTTAAATATGCTGGCATGAGCAGACACAAAACACATTTAAAAAAAAAAAGTGAATTAAAAATCCATTCCTCTTTCAGCAGCTCAAGTTTTGCTCTTCTGCCATGTCATGTTTGTAACAGTTCTCCATTTGTCCATAGAGTCTTTCAGGATAGACAAGGTCTGAATAGCTAAAGTTAAAAAGTGAAATCCTCTCTCCCCCTTAACAGCTTTTCATATCTATACCGGTAGTATCCACCATAAAGAAGCAAACCTGCTACAAGCCCAGTTACTTTTCCTGTTGCAGATCATTGTCAACATGAAAGCTGCCTGCTCTTTATAATTGTGTTAGTCTTTGGGAACGTAGAGGAGAAAGGATAGTGTATCGGACGGTGTGGGACCAATTAATGCTTGGTGTAACTCTACTGAAGTGAAGTTACATCATGGGTGAATTTGACTATATTGCTGAAACTTTTGAACCTATTGAAAAAAATAGTGTGGAGAGACTTTTATGCATTGACGAGGAGGATCCAGAAGAATCCTACTTTCTTTCATGCTTCTTGTGAGTGGAGGTCAGGAAAGGAGGATATCATGAAAGGTCTGTGTGAATGGATCTTTGTTGTTTTAGCGGTTTGTTTAGAGCAGGTAAATGTTGCTATTGCGTTTTCTCCAGTGTTGGAGAAATTTATCTTCCAACACACAGGCCATGCCAGAAACTGTTTAAAATTTCTACAGATGAAACTCGTACATCACAGTGAATGAGTAGTCTGTTGTGCAATGCACTCTTTGTGTGAGCACTGTTATACACTAGAGCAGCACATGGGGACAAAAGGGGAGTTTGCGCAGGTGAGAGATCTATTTAGATCTGTGTCCCTTGCTCTTTCGAAGAGATCGGTGCATATCATAGGCGGGTTCTTGGAAGTTGATTAGGAAAGTTGGTGACTGGGTTTCTCTTTCTGAAGTGTCATAAACCAGTGTGGAAAATGAAATTACTGTCTTAAAAAGAGGGAAATGTCTGCATTATTTTTGGGTCTGTTGCCCGTAGAATACCAGAGAACAATGCAGTGTGATGTAAGGCAGGAAGGGATGGTCTGGGGATTCCCAGCATGATAACTGCCAAAGGCATGTGTTTTGATTGACTCTTTTAATCATAGACTATCAAGGTTGGAAGGGACCTCAGGAGGTCATCTAGTCCAACCCCCTGCTCAAAGCAGGACCAATCCCCAGACAGATTTTTGCCCCAGATCCCTAAATGGCCCCCTCAAGGATTGAACTCACAACCCTGGGTTTAGCAGGCCAATGCTCAAACCACTGAGCTATCCCTCCTCCACATTTGTTTTTAGATGACAAATTAGGATGTTGAATCATCAATGGTACTACAGCACCTACCCTGACCGAACAGGTATCCCTGAGGCCTGCTCATTGAGATCTACCAGACCCACAATGAGGGGATGGGAAGAATGGAATCTGACTTATCTTGTTTTATTTTGGATACCATGTTAGGCCTGCCACCGGAGGAGGGTAGCTTTAAATTTGCTTCTTGTTTTGTAGATTTCAGATGCAGCTTGATTGTGTGGCTTCCTCTGTTTCTTATGGCCTGAGGGAAGTGATCTGTGTGGTGATTGTCTTTCCCTCTTTAAAAGTATTAAATTTGCTATCAAGTTAAAAAATCATTCTTTATTAAACAAAATTTCTTACGTGTGGTACTGTTTTAAATTAATTGACTTCTAACTA